CTACCAAGGAAGATTTGTTGGCAGAAAGGATTTCATGGACAAAAATGTTTGCAAGCCACATCTTGTGGCCTCTGAAAAATGAATGTGGAGTACTGAGTGGATTTGCTGAAAGTTGTCTGGATCCTGCTGACTGTCTGAAACCTCAGTCACCAGTGTCATTTTTTTCTGTGGTGGGTTAGTAGATTGTGTGAATTTCCAGGACAGATTCACCACCAGTTATAGTCTCCTCCTCCTCCTCCTCTTCTTCTTCTTTTATTATTATTATTGTTATTATTATTATTATTATTATTATTATTGTGTGATACAGAGAATGGAACTCAGGGCCTCGTGTAAGCTAGGCAAGTATGCTAGTATGGGAGCCTTGAAGTCAGCCTTGAGCTTTTGCTTAGCTTTTGCACACAAGGCTGGCACTCTACCATTTGAGCTAAACCTCTTCTTTCAGCCTTTTGCTGGTTAAGTGGAGATTCTCAAACCTCAGGCTTCTGAGTAGCTAGGATTACAGGCATGAGCCACTGATATTTGGCTTCCCATCCTTTTTTAATTTTTCTTTAAAAATAGGTTCTCAGTAAATTGCCCAGAATGGTCTCAATCACAAAATCTTCCTGCCTCCAAAGTAGCTCAGGTTACAGGTGTGAATTATCATGCGTGGCCCTGCACAGTCTTAAGAGATACAGTAGTACGGATTTCAGAGATTGGCTATGGTTTAGATGTGGTTTGAATCACCACTGTGAAGTGTGGGGAGGGTGGAGAGCTAATCCCACTATGGAGGTGTAGGGCTGGGCCAGGTGCCAGCAGCCTATAATCCTTTTTTTCTTTCTTCTTCTTTTTTTTTTTTTTGTCGGTTGTGGGGCCTGAACTCTGGGTCTGGGCACTGCCCCTCAGCTCTTCAGCTCAAGGTAGCGCTCTACTACTTGAGCCACAGCACCACTTCAGCTTTTTTCTGTTTATGTGGTGCTAAGAAATCGAACCCAGGGCCTCATGCATGCAAGGCAAGCACTCTACCACTGAGCCACCTTCCCAGCCCCATCACGCCTATAATCCTAGCTACTCAGAAGACTGAGATCTGAGGATCTGGGCTCAAAGCCAGCCCAGGCAAGAAAGTCTGTGAGACTCATCTCCAGTTAATCACAGAGAAGTGATTAACTGGAAGTGACGCTGTAGTTCAAGGGGTAAAGTGCATGCTTTGAGCAAAATGAGCTCACAGATAGCACGCAGACCCAGAGTTCAAGTCTCAGGACTGCCCCCCCTCCCCAACTACCCTCCCCAAAAAAAGATGGGGCTGGGAGAAGACTGTGACAAGCTAATGTCATGGGTTGGAGCCCTTAGGATTCAATCCTGGTGACCTTAAGAGAGCAGGATGTGACCAGGGAATATGGACACGGTGTCATGAGTGTATGAGAGTGTTCCTTGTATTGATTTTTTTTTTTGGTTGGTCGTGGGGCTTGAACTCTGGGCTTGGGTGCTGTCCCTGGACTCTTCAGCTCAAGGCGAGTGCTCTACCACTTGAGCCACAGCACCACTTCCAGTTTTCTAGTAGTTTATTGGAGATAAAAGTCTCGAGGTCTTTTCTGCCCGGGCTGGCTTTGAACTGTGATCCTCAGATCTCAGCCTCCTCAGTAGCTAGGATTACAGGCATGAGCCACCAGCACCCAGCTCCTTGTATTGATCTTTATCACACTCTGTGTTCCCTGAGGACTCTGCCAGCCAGAAGCCCCTGTGAAATTTGGCCCATCAAACTTAGGCTAAACCATGGGCCCAAAAAAACTTCCTGTTAAACCTACACAGCTTGCAGTATTGTAGTGTTGACACCAGAATGGACTGAGACAGTTAGAGGGGGCAGCTCCTTCAATTCTGAGTCTCCTTGAGTTCAAAGGGACACCAACTTGTATCAGATAGGAGGTGCCAGTGCAGGGCTCCTTGAGGACTCCAAGAATGAACCCCCTCCTCCGACCTCAGAGCTGGGCCCAGGGCACACCATGGGATCCTCAGCATGGCCACGCTGGCAGAGGCACAGACCCCAGACCATTTGTCTTCCTGTGGTGCACAGGACTCACCTTTGGCCCGGGCTGCTTAGGTAAGGCAGGGAGAGATGCATTGGCGTCTGTTTAGGCATCATAGCTGCAGAGCGTGGCTTCTGTCACATGCCACAGAGTGCTGAGAAGCAGCTGCGTGCAGCCGGCCCTCCCCCAGCTGTCTTCAGCGTTGCTCTGCTCAGATGCCCTGTGGGGAGGAGTGCAGCGGGTTCTCCAAGCCCCTGAGAGCATCTGTTCCCCTCTTTGTGGCCTGCTGTTTCCTAAAGTGATCCAGATCCTGCAGCCACGATGTATGGAGGTAGCAGTAAAACATCCAAAGGAAGAGCAGGTCAACAGGGGAAACATCATCTTTCTAGTTATCCCATCCCCACCTCCCCCACTCTTACCCCCACCCCTCTGCCAGCTCCCTAGGGGAAGGCCATTCCTGCCCTTGGAGAACTTGTAGTCTTATAGGATAGATGGATGGACAGACAGCTGTGGAGGCAACAGGTATAAAAGCAAATAAGTCATCCTGAGTGCAAGACATTGCAGGGGAAGCTCAGGATATGATTAGAGGAGAGTGGGGGAGAGGTTGGGGAGACCCCCCCCCGCCTTGTAGTGAGCCTCACCCTGAGGCCTGATTGGTAAGGGGGTGAGGGAAGAGATTTTAAGGACAGGATGCACAAAGGCCCTAAGGCAGGCTTAGTGATTTCTGGAACTGAAAGAAGCACCGAGAACAGAAAGAGAGGAGGAGGTGCTGGGGAGATCCGGACCACCATGTTTGAAATGGAGGGTTCCAGGAGGCAAGGATTAGCCACAGCCATAGCAGGTGGTTCTACAGAATCTATATGGGCTTCCAAGTTGGGGTGTTCAGACTGCCTATTATGCATGTATCTTCTCCTGCTCAGAGATGGAATAAAAGCTGCTTACTTGCAAATCCCAGGAGGCCAGTTTGTCCACCTGTCTGCCAGGTCAGTGTGCACAGGGCTAGATGGTTGTTTTGCTTGTTAGTTTTTACTTAAGGAAGACTCCCCATAAAGGATGGAGAATAGGAGAGGCAGAGCCCAAGAAGGGAAAGGCTGGCATTTCTCTCCTATGGAGTGCAGGGGAAGGCAGAGACTGTAGGAGCTAGCATCAGATCAGCTGCTTCAGTACCAGCCAGAGAGCAATGCACCCTCCTCTGTGTGAGAGAGTAAGCGTGTGCATGTGCGTGTATGTACATGCTCTGGTACCAGAACTTAAACTCAGGGCCTTGTACTCTGCTGGTGCTTTACCACTTGAGACATGTCTCCAGTTCCAGCTTTTTGCTGGTTAACTGGAGGTAAGGGTTTTGTGGGATTGGCTTTGAGCTAGGGACTGGCTTTGAACCTCCATCCTCAGATCTCAATACCTCCCGAGTAGCTGAGATTACATGTGTGAGCCACTGGTACTCAGCTCCCATGTTTCTTCCCTCACCTTCCTCCCAGCCCTCCCTGACCTCAGGTCCCCAGAGAGTGTCACTTGTCAGAAATACAGAGTCTGCCTTCTGGCAGAGGAAAACAGAAGCTCCTGTCCCTGCTCCTGCTGGGTCCAGGGCAAGGGCTGGCTGGACAGCTGGCATCTTGGCAGGGAGAACATGGTTTGCTGTGTCTGCAGCTACTACCGCTGGGAAGACTGATTAATGACCCATGATGCCCAGGGCATCTCTGCAGCCATGGCTGCCAAACCAGCCTGTGGCCCTGCTCCCCGCTGCCTACCTCCAAAGCCTCCAGAAAGCCTCTCCCTCTTTCTTCTATTCTTTCTGCCAACCATTTATCCAGTCTCCTTGAAACCTTGGCTCCAGATTCTCCTCTGTGGGAGACACTGCAGAACAAGCCCAGCCCACTATGACCCCATCAAGCCCATAAGGAAGAAAATTATGCATTGTTAGGACTCGCCCCTTTCACAGTCCCATGGTGGCTACCACACAGGCTCTGCACTTGAGGGTCTCTGTAGGATGTTCAATCCACATATGGCCTGCCTCCTCCATCAGACTAGCAACTCTCAGGCATTAAGGAGCACCTCCTCTTTTAGTCTGGTGGATGCTAAGATCCAAGTATTTTCCCCTTAAATAAAAGGCCCCCAAGCCAGGTGCCGGTGGCTCATGCCTGTAATCCTAGCTACTCAGGAGGCTGAGATCTGAGGATTATGGTTCCAAGCCAGTCCAGGAAGAAAAGATCATGAGACTCTTATCTCCAATTAACCACCAGAAAACTGGAAGTGGTGCTGTGGTTCAGAGTGGTAGAGTGCTAGGCTTGAGCACAAAAGCTCAGGGACAGCGCCCAGGCTTAGAGTTCAAGCCCCATGACCAACCAAAGAAAAAAAAAAGAAAGAAAGAAAGAAAAGAAAAAAAGGCTGCTAAAGGTCAGACAAGCTGTCTGGGAGCTCCCAGAATACAAAGGTTCTAAGCTGGGCACCCCTGGTTCATGCCACCAGATCAGCCTACAATCGTAGCTACTTGGGAGGCTGAGATCCAAGGATTGCGGTTTAAAGCCAGCTAGGGCAGAAAAGTCCCAATGAGACTCTTACCTCCCATTAATCACCAAAAATCAAAAACTTTGAGCTATGGCTCAAAGTGGTAGAGTGCTAGCCTTGAGCAAAAGAGCTCAGGGACAGTGCCCAGGCTCTGAGTTCAAACCCCATGACTGACACAAAAAGAAGATAAAGGTTCTGCATGAGGCTATTCTATTTCTCCCCCATGCTCCAAGCTGCACCTGGTCTTGGTCATGCTTGGACACATTCAGGGGCTGCAAGGTAAGCCTCCCAGCTTGTTTAGGTGTGGCAGGATTGAGCACTGGTGTAAGGGGCGTGGATGTGGCTGGGGACAAACCAGCTCTCTGAGCCCCAGGTCCAGCACCCTAGAAAAGAGAAGGGTATTTATATGCAGCAATTTGGGTGGGGAGCAGCAGAGCAGGGCTCCTGGCCTTGACTGTTGTCTCATGCCTCTTTGGGCTGCCTCTGTGTCCACAGGAAGACAACCACAGCTACTACGTGTCCCGTGTCTATGGCCCCAATGAGCCCCGCAGCCGGGAGCTGTGGGTGGATGTGACCACAGCAAACCAGAGCCAAGTGAAGGTGCACAGGATCCTCTCCAACACCCACCGGCAGGCTTCGGTGAGCATTCCTATCCCTGGCAGGGTAATCCAAGCTAGAGGCTGGACTAGCCCATCCTGCCTGGGAACAGGCCTGGTGTGGCCTGAGGTCTGGGAGCTGGGGGGTTCTTGGCTACAGTGGGGACACTCATTCATTGTTCCAGAGGCCTTGGGGCCTGCTCTAGACATGTCTGCCCTGCTCTGTTCAGACAAGCATGGAGCAATGTGGGCAAACAGCTCTTGGTCCATCAGCTCAGCTTATGTTAACTCCTTCCTGCCCCCTACAGAGAGTGGTCCTCTCCTTTGATTTCCCTTTCTATGGACATCCTCTGCGGCAGATCACCATAGCAACAGGAGGTGAGGTGGAATCAGCAGGGGGCAGGTTACAGATCTCAGCCTGTACTTTAGGGGATGTTCTAGGGGAGAGAAGTGGACTGGGAAGGGATCCACGCTTGATCCACACTCGGCTCTTAATCACTCCCATCACATCAGCTGACCCATATGTGTCTCCCTGGAACAGCATGGCTAGTGTGGACATCCCATAGGTCTTGCATTTCTCTAAAAGAGGAGGAGACAGAGGGGCAGCACTGAGAACTTGAGTTTCCATCCATATCAGGAGTTTGAGTCCCATGTCCCACTTTCCCACGGTTGGGGGAGGTGGGAGTCACCTCTTCTTCTTGCCTCTCCCCCCACCCCACCATGGTCTGTGCCTTCCTAGAGGCATTGGGAGACCTTCTTAAGTCTGGGGCCCTCTAAGTTCATATACATCAGGCTCAGAGCCCAGCAGGTAGGGATGAGGGAAAAGGGGACCCTTGAGGAAAAGCCTAGAGGCTTCCCCTAGAGGCCATGTGTAGTTACTGCTCTGAACTTCTCACCCTAGGCTTCATCTTCATGGGTGATGTGATCCACCGAATGCTCACAGCTACTCAGTATGTGGCCCCTTTGATGGCCAACTTCAACCCTGGATACTCTGACAACTCCACAGTCACATACTTTGACAATGGTGAGACCATGCTTCAGTGTGCACGTTAACCCAGCATAGAGCATCCCTGGTCTGATCCCTTAACCGGTACCCAAGGCCCAGGGAAGGCAAAGGACTTGAGCATAGCCACACAGCCCAGCAGTGCCCCTCACAACTTTCTGGGTTTTAATCTCATGAGTAAGATGGGGATGGCATGTCCTGCCTAGCAGAGTCTAATGAGATATGAAATGGAAACTGTCACCATACAATTCCCCGTTTGTCCTTTTTATCTCTAGGGGGTCAGGAGAGACAAGAGGAAGGGCAGAATACAAGATAAGAGCTGGGCACCAGTGGCTCATACCTGTAATCCTAGCCACTCAGGAGACTGCTAGCCTTGAGCACAAAGAGGCCCAGAGACAGCACCCAGATGGGTGAGAGAAAGAGAGACAGAGACAGAGACAGAGAGAGACACAGAGAGAAATAAGAGAGTATGGATCTGCATGCAGAAGCAGAAGTAGGACCCTTTGGTTCCAGGCAGTGTCTTCAGGCTGTACAGCAACTGCCATCTCAAATTTGCAAATGACTTCCATCATCTCGAATAGACCTGATCCATAGCCAGTCCTCTCTGGCTTCCATTTTTGCAGGATCCCACTCCCTGCTCTACCTCCCCGCCCATCCTGGTCTCTGCTCTTCTCCTCAGGGACAGTCTTTGTTGTTCAGTGGGACCACGTCTACCTACAAGGCCGGGAGGACAGGGGCAGCTTCACGTTCCAGGTGGCCCTGCACCGTGGGGGCCGCATTGTCTTTGGCTACAAAGAGGTGAGGGGGCTCTGGCTGCAGAGATCATTGGGTCTTAGAGTTTTTCCTTGATTCAGCAAATACTTGTAGAGAATCTGCAATGTATGGGTACAGCCTGTAGGCCCTGTCCTTGGAGTCATAAGTCTATAAGACAATAATTGCAGGGATGGACAGAGACAAGTGCTCCTAAGTAGAGGAACTTGGTGCTAGCAGAGGCCAGAGGAGGTTTCTCTGAGGAAAAGGACACAGGGGTTGGACACAAAAAGAGTGCTGAATTTCTGCTGTACCAGTTTAAGAATGCAGAGAGTAATGCATATAGATTCCCTGGTCAGTGAACATACCCAGGTGAACAAAGCACCCAAGACACACCACTGAACTTACAGAGCCCATGGTAGTATTAACCGATCCATGAGCCCGCCCTGTCACACTGAGATGATCCTTCCTGAAAAGGAGCAAATTGTTCCTAAACCAGAAGAAGAAGTTGTGCAGAAGAAAAACGTATTCCAGAAGAAACTAAACTTATGGCACAGGAATAAATTTAGCATAAAATAAATGCAAATAAATGAAAATGAAAAAGGCCACTCTGGCTTCAGAGCAGAGAACAGATTGTTTAGGACTAGAAGATTATTCAGAGGAAAGATGAGGCAGCTTAGAGACAAAGACATAGAGAATGAGATAGACTTGAGAGCCATTGGGCTAATAAAAGGATTTAGAGATGTATTCAATGAGAAAGAAGAGAGAAAAGAAAAGAAGAGGCCAAGAATGACTCTGGGTTTCAAGCCTGCATGGAGGTACAGTCCACTGAATTGAAAATATGCGGAAGGTGGTGTGGGGAAGGTTTGGGACTGGGTAAGAATTTAGTCCTCAGTAGCTAAATAGGCACATAGGACTAGTGCTCCAAGAGGAGGCTAAACTGGCCCCAGAAAATGCTGGGGGGGGGTGAATAGAGCCTCTTCTCCTGTTGTAGATCCCTATGGCTGTCCTGGAAATCAGTTCTTCCCAGCACCCCGTGAAAGCAGGCCTGTCAGATGCCTTCATGATTCTCAACCCATCTCCAGATGTGCCAGGTGAGTGTTCAGAGGTCCAGCAAACACCGTTTGGGGAAGACCCAGCTCAGTCAGAGCCCAGGAGGGTGAGAATGGGAGTTGGCTAGGGAGTGGGACTGAGGGAGGAAGAGGGCTAGGAATACCCAGTTTCCTTTTGATCATTGAAGCACCATTTTTCCCACTGTGTCCAGTAGGAGGCACTAGACTGGCTTTTAGGGGAGGGGTAGCCAGAGTCCTTGTACTCAACCCTTGACCCACTTAGAAAACTTCCCAAAGATGTCAGGTGAGGGAATATAAGCCTTCCAAAATGCAAACAGTGGCTCTCAAGCAAGGGGATGAAAGGACCACTACGCTCTCAGGAGACTCACAGTCTAGCCTCAGCCAGGCCATGAACTCTGCCTGCAGTAAATGAGTCTCAGCAGCCACTGTAAAGTGAAAGTACCTCTTCCTTCAAGCTCTTGCTCCTGCACTGATAATTTAGGAACCCCAAATCTTTCCCTCTTGCTTTAGGACCCCCACCTCATGCCCACCAGGGTTTGAGTCACACCTCTGGGAAGGTTGCCAGTAAGCCACCTGCCACTTCCAACCTCAGCTCAGAGACTTGGCCCTGTCCTCCTCTGCAGAGCTGCATGCGTGACAATTCCATCAGGTGATGGACAGCTGAGGAACATCATTCAGGACTGGGAAAAAGCCTTTGTCTGCTTGTCTCCCTCCTACTTGTGCCTGCTGTGAAATCTAGGGCTGAGGAAAATGTGATATTTATCTAGAATCCAAATTCTAAGTCACTATGTATCAGACCAGTTGAGACACAATGGGGCAGACAGTCCAGCCCCCAGGACAGCCCTCTATCCTTGAGATCAGAGATGCTGTTGAGTCTACCTGCTGGAAAAAGCCTACACCTAATGGCAGACACTGCCTTGTGGCTTCCTGCCTCTAGTCCTCTTAACCTCCATTTCTTCCGACCACTGTGAAATCAGATGTGTTCCTCTCTGGCTCCTCAGTGCTTTTTAGGATCCAGACAAAATCTTTATGTGGCATTCAAGGCCCTTCACACCTGGGCATAGCATCTAAATCCTGCCTTTGTGCCCAGTGGTAGTGGCTCACACTTATAATTCTAGCTATTCCGGAGGATGAGATCTGAGGATTGCAGTTGAAAGCCAGCCTAGGCAGAAAAATCTGTGACTATTTGGATGCCAGCCAAGAGCAAAAAAGCTAAGTGAGAGACCCTGACTTCAAGTCCTGCACTGTACAACGAAGCTAACAAACAAACAAAAGACCCCTTCTATCAGCAGCCTCTCTAAGTCCTGGTGTATGTATCCTTCTGTTCTCCCAACCTGCCAAGGGCTGGCCACATCCTGGTGACATAGTTCCCTGGTGGAAACCCTCCTCTCCCATTCCTTTTTATTTTATTTTTTTTAAACCACTGAGACCATGCATTGATTGGTCAGGCTCAGAACTCTGTATCAGCCAGTGCAAAACTGTTTCCTCTTCTCTCCCCCTAGCATTCTGCTGCCCTGAGCTGCTTCTGCCCCAGTAGGGTGGCAATCCCCTGGGGACTCTCGAGTTCGGAATGATCTGGATCCAATCAAAGAGTTCAGGTTGCTATCCAAAGGATCAGCAGAGACCCGTTCTCTGCTGCCTTTTGACTTTGACTCACTGTAAGAACAAGAGCCTGGAACCACTTGAGTTTGGGAGGGATTATTATTATTATCATTATCATTGTGTGTGTGTGTGTGTGTGTGTGTGTGTGTGTGTGTGTGTGTGTGTGTGTGTGTACCTGAGTGCTGTCCCTGAGTTTTTGTGCTCAAGGCTAGTGTTCTACCACTTGAGCCACAGCTCCACTTCTGGCTTTTTGAGTAGTTTATTGTGACAAGAGTCTCATGGACTTTCCTGTCCTGCTAGGATTACAGGTGTGAGCTGACAACACCCAGCAAGGGAATATTTTGGAAACTGTATGCCTTTGTGTCCGAAGTTTCAGCTTGGAGGACTAGGCAAGGAATTGAAGAGATCTGGGAACTTTGAAATTGTAAATGGAATAAATAGGAACATAGGCATTCATGCGTTTTTGTGGGATAGACTCTCCCACCTTTACTAGATTTTAAAATGGGTTACATAGTGAATGCAAGACCTTGGGTTTAATCTCTAGGATAGGGAAAATAAGATAGGAGAAAATGGGCCATGACTCCTGCTTATAGGAGGAGTCAGAGGCCTCTAGTCAGATATCCTACCCAGCAAACAGCGAATTTGTTTGGATTAAGCTGAACTGCAAATACCAGTCAACCCCAAATAACCATGACTTAAATGAGAAGCTCAGAGAGAAGCCTCCGGTATGCAGACCCTCTTATCTCCATGGAGATAAACCAAACCCAGAACAAGGTAACCTCTGTATCCTTGATTCCAAGTTTGACTCCTCCCTGCCTGGGAAGATATGAAGAGTAGAATTTGGTTGCTTACAATTGGTGAAGACACTCTCCCAGCCAGTGAATCCTTTGTGGGGGAGGGGGAGAAGGCTCTGTCTTCTCCCAGGCTCCTCCCACCACCTCCTCCCACCCTTCATGGGGTTGAGGGAAGAGGAGTTGAAAACAACCAGGTTTTCTTAAGCATTGCTGGTTTGAGCCGTGTGCAGAGCATCTTTGATGCAGAGAAAAGCCACGCACACTTAGCATCGTCTGCTTAACACATGGGTGGCCTAGCTGCTCTTAATGTGGCTGGAGAGCCCGCCAGAAATCAGTCTAATTTCCTCTACTCACCAGCCTAAGAAACTCTTCAATTCACCCACAATATAAAAGGAACGTGAGCATAGCCAACATCAAAACTGACAAGAGTCTGAATTAGTAGAACCGGCTAATGAGGATTTGATTATCAAGGGCTCCAGATTGTAAGCTGCTCTTTGGCTGGCCCCAGAATGGCCTCAGATGGCCCTAACACACTGGACCTTTCCCTTCTGCCGGCAGGTTTTCCTTCTCTGGGCCTTGGTGTTTGTGAATATTGGATGGCTGGGCATAGAGATAAAACAGCATCTCAAACTGCCAGAGACGTAGCTTGGGGACAACTCCTGTCCCACATCTGGAAAAGATCTCCTGGCCATGCACATGGAAGCCTTTGTCCCTGGGCGAGCCTCACATGTTGTTGAAATATCCCAAAGGCAAAGAACTGAAGCAGGGGCATTGAGGATTCTGTTTAGGAACAATTAAAAAAAATATGACAAAGCCATATACTCAAACAAGTACAAGTTGGCAGTTGACATGAGCCAGTATTTTCAATTAGAGACAGATTTGCACATACTCAGCCTCATCCCCTTCCGGCCACCATTCATCTGCCCCGCCCTGTGTTTAGAGTTTAGCTTATTTTCTGAGTCCATCTGGCCATCCTTGGCATATATCCATGCCTGGGGCATAGTTCCAGCTCTGCCCCCACCCTAGATCCTTGCAGGAGGCTCCTAGGAGTCCTCTCTTCCCTGGCTGCCAGTGTCTCTCTCTTTCCACTCAGTTTCCCTGACAAATAGATGTTTCATTATGCACTTGAGTCCCTTGTCCCTTAGCATTCAACCTTCCCTTTGACAGAGGGTGAGCTCAGCTCTGCATCCTTGCAGGTGGAGAGATCTAGAAAACCAGCTATAGAAAGAGGTCTGGCTGGCTTTCGGTGCCCTACCTGAGGACCACCCTTTTGGGAAAGGCCTCCATCTGCAGTGAGAGAGGAAGAAGGGTGTGCTTTCCTCTGGGCTGTGGCTGATGTTAGAATATGTTACTGAGGTTTTTAGGAGTCTGTAACCCATTCTTTTATTCACAGCCACTTCTTGAAACCCTGTTCAACGCCTGGTGCCAGGAGCTGGGGGGTGTGGTGGGGAGGGCAGAGACAAATACCAGGTGAACTATGTCTGTGAATTCTGTCCCTGGGGTACTCCAAGTCTGGTATGGGGGTAAGGGGAGAAGTGGGAGATCGGACAGGAAACTAGATATTGACTTAGCAGTGAGACAGGTGACCCTGGACACTGCACAGGGATTGTGGCTCTCAGAAGAGGACCAGCTGACTGCCCAAGAGTGGGAAGCATGCACCTTGAAGGTGGAAACAGAAGAAGGAAGAAAAGTTGATATTAGACTTTAGATCCCATGACATCAGGTCCCGTGGAAGGCAAGAAATAGATACTTGGACTTTCTTCCTCTCCTCTCTTCTCCTCACCCCTCTTCCCTTCTCCCCTCTCTCCTCTCCTCTCCCTCTCTCCTCTCCTCTCCCTTTCTCCTCTCATTTTATTTGTATCAATTCTAGGGTCTTGAACTCTGGATCTGGTGCTATTCCTGAGCTTTTTTTGGCTTAAGACTAGCATTCTACCACTTGAACCACAGTTCCACTTGTGGCTTTTTGCTGGTTAGTTGGAGATAAGAACCTTACAGATGCCGGGCACTGGTGCTACTCAGGAGGCTGAGATCTGAGGATCGAGGTTCAAAGCCAGCCCGGGCAGGAGAGACCGTGAGACTCCTATCTCCAATAAACCACCAGAAAACCGGAAGTGGTGCTGTAGCTCAAGTGGTAGAGTACTCGCCTTGAGCTGAAGAGCTGAGGGACAGCGCCCAGGCCCAGAGTTCAAGCCCCACGACCGACAAAAAAAAAAAAAAAAAAAAAAAAGAACCTTACAGACTTTTCTTCTCAGGCTGGCTTTTTTTTTTTTTGGTCCGTCATGGGGCTTGAATTCTGGGCCTGGCCACTGTCTCTGAGCTCTTCAACTCAAGGCTAGTGCTCTCCCATTTTAGCCACAGAGCCACTTCCTGATTCTTTTCTTTTTATGTGATATTGAGGAACTGAACTGAGGGCTTCATGAATGCTAGGCAAACACTGTACCACTAAACTACATTCCCAGCCCCTCAGGCTGGCTTTGAACTGTGATTCTCAGATCTCAGCCTCTTGAGTAAACTAGGGTTACAGGCATGAGCCATTGGCACAGCTGCCTGCCTGCCTGTCTGTCTTCCTTCCTCACCCTCTCTCCCTCTCCCCCCATCTCCCCTCCCCCCCTCTCTTTTGTACTGCAGCTCAAACTCTGGGCCTTGTGCTCTTGCTTAACTTTTTCCCCATAGCTGACACCCTATCGTTTAAATAACCCTTCCACTTTGAGCTTTTTGCTGGTTAATTGGTGATAAAATTCTCACAGCTTTATCCAGTGGGGCTGGATTCAAACCAAAATCCTTAGATCTCAGCCTCCCAAGTAGCTAGGATCATAGGTATGAGCCACCAGCTACCTCTAGTGACCAGAGTAGGCAGCACTGGCATTTTAGGCCCCAGAAGACCTGTTCCAGGACAGAGTAGCTTCCTCCTCAGTGGAATAATATTCTGTGGCTCTGAATGCCTAGGGGGAGGGGCTGAGGTGTCTATCCACTGCTACCCTGAAGCAGAACAGTGTGTCATGGCAGAGAGATAGCATGCTTAGCCCAGACCAAACTGGGGTTCCACCTTGGGTTAAGTAGGAGGGAACAATTCCAAGGTTGAGGAGAAGTGCACGATGGAGGGAGATATTCTGCTAAGCAGTGGAGGGAGTGTGTGGGGGATGGGAAGCCCAACAGTTACACACACACACCCCCCCACACACACACATACCACTTACATGGATACCCTACTGATTCCTGCTGACACCTTAGGACATTTCTCTCTAAACCTTTCAGCTGGATGATAAACTTATTTCCCCATCTAGTCCTGTTTCTTTTCATTGGTTTCTTTCTCTCTTTCTTTATTTCTTTCTCTCCCCACCCCCTCTTTTCTTGTGCTGGTCCTGGGGCTTAAATTCAGGGCCTGAGTACTATCCCTGAGCTTTTGTGCCCAAGACTAGTGCTCTACCACTTGAGCCACAGGTCCTACTTCTGGCTTTTTTTTTTGGTAGTTAATTGGAGATAAAAATTTGTCTCATGGGGGCTGGGAAGGTGGCTCAGTGGTAGAGCACTTGCCTTGCATGCCTGAGGCCCTGGGTTCGATTCCCCAGCACCACATAAGCAAAAAGAAAACAAGCCGGAAGTGGCACTGTGGCTCAAGTGGTAGAGAGCTAGCCTTGAGCTGAAGAGCTGAGGGACAGCGCCCAGGCCCAGAGTTCAAGCCCCACGACTGACAAAAAAAAAAAAAAAAAATTTGTCTCATGGGCTTTCTTATCCAGGCTGGCTTTGAACTGTGATCTTTAGATTTCAACCTCCTGAGTGGCTGAGCCACAGGAGCCTGGCTTACTCCATGTTTCTTGTGTCAAAAATCTAACCCAAACTAGTTTAAATAGAAAGGGTACAGCAAGCACTGGCGAATGCTGAAGAAGCCCAAAGAACTAAAGGAAAAGATAACCACCTGGGAAGACAGGGAATAGCACTAGAACTTCCTGCTAATCTCTACAAAACTACAAAATGGCTTTATTCTGGCTTTTTCCATAAGCCTGAAATATAGGCATCTATAGGCTCTGAGCTTGCATCTTCTCAACTTTGTTACAAGAGAATAAAAATGCTTCTTGATCCTAGTTGAAAAGTCTCAAAGGAGGTCTCTGATTGGTCTAGCCCGAAACCAATCACTGTGAGACAGGACCAGTGAAAATGGTAGCTCCAGAACAATCTCCATGTAGAAATGGACTGGGCACAGTTTCCCCAATGGGAACACTGTTTCCAGAAGGAGGAAGGGTTGTTGGGTAGACCACACACTAAGTGGCCCTTTCCTCTTATGAGGAAACTCATTGGCAAAGGTCAGCTGCCAGCTGCTTGCCTTTCAGCGCCAAAAGAAACCAACCTGAGTCATGGTTCTTGGGTGGGTGCGGTGGGATAATGGGAAATATCAAAGCCCGTGAGAGTACCATTTTAGGACAAGCCCTTTCATCTACAGTTCCAGTGTTTTCCTTCCAAAAAAATATTGCGGCAGATTGTTTCTGTCTTTCCACTTCACAGAGAAGACACAGAGGCTCCAAAGCCTTGCCTAAGGTTAACCAACAAATCAGGAGCAGAACTTGACTCAGTTCTTGCGTTTCTCAATTCTGAAGTCCCGAGGGAAGTTTCTGCAGGGATTGAGGTAGGACTTAAGGTTGGCTTCTGGCCCTGAACTTTGCTCAGGCCTCCATAAAGAAGAGAGTGGTAGAATATGTCAGGAATGTGCAGGTGGGAGCCTGCCTGTGTGCAGATGTCTACAGAGCATTCCTCGTGGGCCAGGTTCAGGCCAGGTACTTACCACTCCACTCCTAGCAGAGCTTGGTGCAGAGCCAGTGGGGTGAATGCAATGGGCAGAGGGCACCTGGCCTGAGTAAGGGACAGCAGGGAGCTGGCTGAGGGGGGATGATCTAAGGAAGTAGGACTTCAGCTAGATCGTCAGCTTATCTGCACCAGTCAAGGAGGGAAAGGTGGGAGAACATGTAGATCAAGGGAATAGCAGCTACGATGGCTCAGAGGTATGAAAAGGGAAAGAATGCTTGCTGTCCTGATACCAGGGGTAGTCAGGCCTCTGTATTGAGTATTTCAACCTGCTCATCAAAGAGCACTATTCCCTAGGGTCAGCTCCTGTCCTCCAATCTCCCTTGCAGCCTTAATGCTGTTGTAGCACAGGTTGACGATTATTTTCTTCTCGGTGTCCAATTGCCAACTCCTGGTAGGCCCTGGGTACAGATCTTGAAGCCCTCTGGCTGTAACATGTGCCTGATGACAAGTTTTGCTTCTGTTTCAGAGTCTCGGCGCAGGACCATCTTTGAGTATCACCGTGTGGAGCTGGACTCCAGCAAGATCACCAGCACATCGGCCGTGGAGTTCACTCCATTGCCAAGTGAGTAGGAGTGTTCCCACCAGTGAAGGGCATTCTGCTAATCTGGAACACACTTTGGAGTGACACTGGGTTCAAATCGCAGGCCTGTCTCTGACTCCTGAGAGGTACAACCACCTAATCTTTCCAAGCCTCCATCTCTCATCTGTAACCTCATCTGTGGCCTCATGGCACCTCCCTTCTAAATCTGTGGCCAGGGCAGAATAACAGGTTGAATTGAGCATGGAAATGGCAGCCATTTCCAGCTTTTTTGCTGGTTAATTGGAGATTAAGAGTCTCATGGACTTGCCTACCACTGGATGCCAGTTTGCTTTTTGCTTTTTTGAGACATGGACTCACTTTGTAGCTCAGAATGGCCTAGAATTCACTGTGTAGCCTAGGGTGACCCCAAACTCTCAATCCTCCTGACTCTGCCTCCCAAGTGCTAGGATTATAGGCATGTACCATATTTGCTCAATGAATGAAAGGATAAAGGAATCCCTCCAAGGGTTATTGAGAGAAATGAATCAATAACAAGGAGCACTTACCATGTGTTCTTTCTCTATCTCCCTATCCTCTCACTTCATGCTCATGACAGGTGAGTCTTCCGGGTAGGTGGTAGCATATTCCCTTATTCACAAATGAGTTCCTGAAGCAACACAGGATGCTACAACCCTCCAAGTCAGACTCCAGCCAGGAAGAGCAGAGGTAATGGCCCCTCCTGTGCCGTATGGATACCTCATTTCCCAGAGGAGAGTTAGAAGTAAGGAATGAGACACCCTATGCCCAGTTTGCCTGGACTTTCCTAGAGGAGGTGCAGAGCCCAGTCAGGACTCTGGTGGCAATCCTTCTCTGAGGCCTAATGTTGGGAATGGGCAGTAAGGACCCCCCAGCTAGCACGGCCTGGACATAAATGAACAACTTCTGCCACTTTCCACTAGAAACATGACTGACTTCTTTGACTTCACACACTTATAGGCTCTGTGATTTTTCTTCTGAGACCCCATGACACAGAATTCTAGGGTTATTTTTGTTCAATTAGTGGTTAATGTCTGTCTCCTCATATGACTGTAAGCCCCAGGGGGCAGGGACCAGGTCTTACTGTGGGATCCCCAGCACCAGCTCAGGGATGGCCCCTTTGTGATGGAGGAAGGAAGGAAGGAAGGAAGGAAGGAAGGAAGGAAGGAAGGAAGGAAGGAAGGAAGGAATTTAGGGCTGCTCTTCAAGAGAGGATGGCAGTAATGACCTCAACAGCCCCTGCTAGGTCAGGGACTCCATAGTTCCAGAACCCAGAATTCTGGAGTTTCACCCTTTCAAACCAGGTCCTGGTGTTGAGTGGCCGCTATTTCCTCTCTTGCAGCCTGCCTACAACATCAGAGCTGTGACTCCTGCATGTCCTCAGACCTGACCTTCAACTGTAGCTGGTGCCATGTCCTGCAGAGGTTTGTACCAGGTTATGCACTGAGTCTCAACAGCAAACCATGGGCCAGAAGGCAGCAAGGGTCTACTTGTTGCCCATAGTTTTGTCAGTATTAGGGTATCTCTGATTCTTACTCACAGAAGTGAGTTTCTCCCTGAGGCTTGTACCTGATTAAGGTGATCATGTGATTGGGTAGGGCCTTAGGTGGTGTCAGGCTTCTGGAAGATTCTAGATATTGTGCCTGCCTCCATATACCCAAGCAGATTGGCTCATCCAACCTTTATGAGCAGGGCTTCATAAACAGTAGACCATAGCTGTGGGCATCCTAGAATCACAGGAGCTCTTATAGACATGTGGAGACTGGGATCCCTTATGTCAAGAACCTGGGAAGGATCCCTGGGTCTGCATTTTAATGTGGTGTCTCATTTGCAACCAAGTGTGAGAACTGCTAGCTTAGCAACAGGCTGAGATGCAAAGATCCATTGCCCCTGACCCCAAACCACAAGTCTCAAGATCTTTCCCAGGCTGAAACAAGGTTTCCTGAAAACCAGGAGTGTGGCTGTGGTAGGTATCCATGGAAACTAGGGAAGCTACAAAGCTGTGTTTAGCTGTGTTTGCTTAGTGTGGAAGCACGGAGAATTCTGGGTGAGATCCAGTGTGAGGGATAAAGTTCTTAAACCCGACTCATCTTCCACTCCTTGTTCTGAAATCATTTCCTCACAGATTAGACTCATAATGTAAGCTCTGTTCTCCGGTCCAAGATAAACAAATGGCAGGAGGGGTAGAAAAAGGGATTCCTGTGGGGACTAGTGCCCTCATGAGGATGGGAAGCCCGAGGAACTCTGAGAGCCTTTAAGGCAAATTGCAAAATTATAGGCTCCGAGTTGCCCTGCAGCTGTTCTGCAGCTGTCAGCGTTTCCTTTGCTCCTTTCCAAGTCAGGGAGCAGATATAGCAGCCCAGGCACATAGGACTGGTGTCCAGGAAGGTGGGGGGCGGAAAGGGGCACTCCACAGGCCTCCCAGGTGTGCTTGCCACCAGCTGTGCTTGTACTCACTCTCTTGGGACTTCAGTTGGTTGACTCTGTAGAATGGACAGAGGCCATGTGACTCAGGAAGACGTGGGTGAGGAACACTCTGTTATTTGAACTCTTCAAATGCCAAATAGCATTTAAACAAAGCCTCCAGGGGCAGGGAAGGTACAGAGTCTCAGAATGGGTTGGCAAATTAGACCCTGGGCTCACTCTTTCTGGAATGGAGTTCTGCCAATTGTGGCCTCTGAGGTTCTCAGAATCACCAGCTGTGGCTCATGCCTGTAATCCTAGCTACTTAGGCGGCTGAGAGCTAAGGATCATGGGTTCAAAACCCTCCCTGGCAGACAAATCCTGAGATTCTTTCATCTCCAATTAACCAGTAAAAAGCCAGAACCGGAGTCATAGTTCAGAATGGTAGAGTGCCTGCTGCAGTGAACAACAAAACTGAGTAAGAACAGAGGTTAAGCCCCAGTACCTAGTGCATGCACGCATGCAGGCGTGCACACGCACACGTGCACACACAGACACAGACACAGACACAGACACACACACACACACACACACAGAAACATATCCCTGGGACCAGTACCCCAGATGTCTGAATTTTGGAGTGCTTCATCTTATGTGCTTTCCATGTTGAGAAACATTATCTTAGCACTGAGGAGACTCTTGAGATGGCCTCAGATGAGCCCTGACATATTGGGGCTGGCTGCCACTGTGTGACTCAGCGTTCAACCCAGGCTGAGCCGCAGGAACTGAAAATGGGTCAAATGAACACAAGCCCTCGATTTACCACCACTCCTAGTTAGTGGCTGCACCCCAACTCAGAGACGATGACAGTGTGAGGGGAGGGACGGGCTTCTTCCACAGGAAGAGCCTGGTTGGAGAAAGGCCAGGGCCTGGGCTGGTGGCCCCTGCTGAAGCCATCAGCTCCAGCACAAGCATGCTCCATCAGAGTGGGCAAGACTGATTTGAGCCGGAACCCCCTGTCCCCCACACACCTATGGACTCACTTCAACCCATGCCTTTCCTTGCCAGCTCTCTAAAGCACTGGCTCAAAATGAGAGCTGAGTCCAAGTCCCTAGAAAGCCAAAACGCAGAGCTGGTTCAGTGGAATCCCATAGTTCTCTTTCCCTCCCCAGCCTGACCCTTCCCTCCTTCCTCCCTTCCCCATCCCCTCCCCTCCCTCTCCTCTGAAACTTTTTGGGATGTCCTTTCCTTGCTCTGGTGCTAGATCTGCTTTAGACAATTTCATATACCATGGAAGGTATCATCCTGTCATCCTACATTGCCCCCCACCCCACAGCCAACATAACGTCTAAGGGTGACTTTAGCCTCAGGATTCGTTCAGGAAATGATGACTCATAATTCTGCCTCCTAGTATCACTGTGAGGTCCCATGGGGGTGGTGCTGGCACCTTCAGGAGACCCTCAGACAATGCCCTTTCTCATGTTCCTCTTTCACTCTGGGCTGACTGGCTCAGGGCCTGGCAAATCATTTTCACAGACCTATATTGAAAGCACAATCCTTAACCCATTGGCTTGACCTAAAAAGAACTTGAGTCCCCACCTCCAAATCCTCACTGACCCCAAAATCATGGGCACAGAAGACCTGAGAAGGAACATGTGGCTGGCCCAGTTTGGCCACCCTGCAAGCAGAAGACATAGCTCAGAGCCGCAGAGGCCCTTTCGGAACAGACTGAGGGCCCTCCGGAAGCTGCACCCTTGGGTCTCAGACAGCCAAGGGTGCTAAGTTAACTTGCTGAGAAGTCATTCATTCCTTGCCCTGGTGGCTCAGGATGTTATTCTTCCAGATGTCCCTGAGCTTGAGTAGAGCTTGGTGGCTTCACCCAGCATTGAAGAGGGAAGAACAGAAATTTAAATACGGTACCTTAGAGAACACTCTGTATGGTACCTTGTCCCTAAATAGGCACTTGGTGTCTTCTAGAGCAGCCAAGATGGAAAAGTCCAGAGACCTTTTTTTTTTTTTTTTTTTTTTGTCAGTCCTGGGGCTTGAATTCAGGGCCTGGGCACTGTTCTTAAGCTTTTGCTCAAGGCTAGCACTCTACCACTTGAGCCACAGTGCTGCTTCTGGCCTTTTCTGTGTATGTGGTACTGAGGAATTGAACCTAGGCTTCATGCATGCTAGGCAAGCACTCTACCACTGAGCCACCTTCCCAGCCCTTCAGAGACTCCTATCAGCTCATTTCAGTCTTCCAGCCTCTGGCCTGTAGTGACTATACTGGGAGACACTGACTAAGCATGCTGACCTTCAGCCCAGCTAGAGGTCACCTGCATACACACAGCTGGGCAGATGAAGCCTTGGTCTGGTAGCCAGGTACCACCAATACCTTCCTCTCCTTCCAAGAAGGAATGGGGGACAGGAAGGTCTACTTTAGTTCCCAGGTACCAGCTGCCTGGTGCCATTATGCCTGTGCAGTGGCCTTAGGGAACCTCTTACTTATGCTGGGAAGAGCCTTCTCCTGACTGACATAAAGAACTGTCACTGATGGGAGCTGGGAAGATGGCTCAGTGGTAGAGCGCTTGCCTTGCATGCATGAGGCCCTGGGATCGATTCCTCAGCACCACATAAAGAAAAAAAAAAGCAGGAAGTGGCGCTGTGGCTCAAGTGGTAGAGTGCTAGCCTTGAGCTGAAGAGCTGAGGGACAGTGCCCAGGCCCAGAGTTCAGGCCCCACAGCCAGACCAAAAAAAAAAAAAAAGAACTGTCACTGATTGGAGTATGTGGCAGGGGAGGGTTGCTCTGTCAAGCCCCTCACATACTTAACCTTTTGGTCCCCCCTCAGGTGCTCCAGTGGCTTTGACCGCTACCGCCAGGAATGGCTGGCCTATGGCTGTGCCCAGGAGGTAAGAGGCACGTGTGATCTTTGGTTGTTCCTATGCCAGGTGGGGGGGAAAGGGGGCTGCCAGCAGTTGTCTTTAGCCCTGGATGACCTTGTTTTTTTCAGATTCCTCTAAGCCAATCAGCCCATTTTGGGTCCCTGAGACTAGTGTCACTGGCAACTGACCTCAAATAGGAATTCCTATGGTCCCTGCAAAGGCCACAGAGCCTCTTGTACTTAGTGGTATCAGTGAAGCCCCTGCCAAGGTTCTAACTCTCGCCCTCTGGCTTTTGAGGGAAGTGAGTAAATCTAAGGGTAAGGCTTATTCCAGGTACCTCCCATTTAGTGGCTTGTACAAACAAACCAACAGCTATAATTTTCCAGAACACTTAATACTTTTTTTGGGGGGGAGGGGTCCGGTTGTGGGCCTAAACTCTGGGCCTGGGCGCTGTCCCTCAGCTCTTCAACTCAAGGCTAGCACTCTACCACTTGAGTCCCAGTGCCACTTCCAGCTTTTTTCTTTTTGCTTATGTGGTGCTGAGGAATCGAACCCAGGGCCTCATGCATGCAAGGCAAGCTCTCTACCACTGAGCCACCTTCCCAGCCCCAGAACACTTAATACTTTGATTCTGGATGAAGAACATCCTCTAGCCTCATACTTTGACCTGGCTTATCGATTAAGGTGTCTCACTAACTAGGCTCAAACCTTAATTCTTTGGGTCTCCCAAGTATCTGGAGGTCATCATGCTTGGCTATTTTAGTTTTGAGAAGGATCTATACCATCTGTACTATGTAGACCAGGCTGATCTTAAAAACTCTTGGTCCTCCTGCCTCAAGCCCTCTGAGTACTAGAATTATAGGTGTTTACCAGCTCTCTCTTCTTTTAATACAAGCACATAGTATGTGCTAAACACATCACTGTGTGTGTTTATAGTTGTTTTTATTTATTTTGGTGTGTGTGTGTGTGTACTGGTCCTGGGGCTTGAACTTAGGGCCTGGGTGCTGTCTCTGAACTTTTTTGTTCAAGGCTATCACTCTACCACTTGAACTACAGCTCTACTTCTGGCTTCTTTTTGGCTTTAATTGGAGATAAGTGTCTCACAGACTTTCCAACCAGACTGACTTTGAACTGCGACCCTCAGATCTCAACCTCCTGAGTAGCTAGGATTGTAGCTACCAGCAGCCAGCTGTTAGTTTTTGTTTTGTTTGCAATTTTTTTTCTGCCAATACTGGGGCTTGAACTCAGGGCCTGGGGACTGTCCCTGAGCTTCATTTTGCTCAAGGCTAGAACTCTACCACTTGAGCCACCATAGCACCACTTCTGGCCTTTTCTGTGTATGTGGTACTGAGGAATCAAACCCAGGGCTTCATGCATGCTAGGCAAGCACTCCACCACTGAGCCACATTCTCAGCCCCCAACTTTTTTTTGTTGGTCATGGGGCTTGAACCCTGGGTCACTCAGCTCTTCAGCTCAAGGCTAGCACTCTACCACTTGAGCCACAGCGCCACTTCCTGCTTTTTCTGCTTATGTGGTGCTGAGGAATCGAACCCAGGGCCTCATGCAGGCAAGGCAAGCACTCTACCACTGAGCCACCTTCCCAGACTTCTGGTGGTTTATTGGAAATAAGAGTCTCACAGTCTTTCCTGCCTGGGCTGGCTTTGAACTGCAATCCTCAGATCTCAGCCTCCTGAGTAGGTAGGATTAGAGGTGTGAGCCACCGGTGCCCGGCCCAATTTTGTTTTTTTGAGATGAGGTCTCATGTTGCTCAAGCTGGCCTCTAACTCCTGGGCTAATCAATCCTCCCATTTCATCCTACTGAATTGCTGGAACTCAATAGAAGGTTTAAATGCATTCAGGACTCAGCTCTGTCTAGACAGCAGTGCTGGAATCTCTCTTGCAGGCAGAGGGAAAGACATGCGAGGACTTCCAGGATGAAGAGCACTACTCAGCCTCCCCGGAAAGCTCCTTCAGTCCCTTTGACAGGGACCTCACTTCCACCTCCTCCTCTCTCATCCTTGACAGCCTCACTACTGAAGGTAAGGCCTGAGCCTTGGGGCTGGGAGAGGCCTGGGGAAGAGCTACTGCATGGACACTCCTGTTCTCACAGGGACGCTGAACTGGTATTGCTTACCCTTGATCCTAGGAGGGACTCAAGCTCAGAGAGTTTAGGTCACTGGCTGCGGAGAAGCAGAAGCAGGTTTTGAGCAAGTAGATACTATGTGGGCCAGATCTACCTTCTAGTATTCAGGGCTACATGGGTGCCCGCAGTCTTATGAACATTCCCTAGGGAAGTGAAGAGCTAGGCAGGAGCAGGAAGTTTGACTGGAAGGAAGTCATAGAGAATGAGCAAATGATGGGAAAAGCTAGCAGTGTGGAGGAACTGAGTCCATGCCAGGTGGGGTGCAAAGTCATACATGCATTAGCATCCAATTATACTAATAATTTTGGAGTTTGATACAGTTATATACCCATTTTATAATGAAAATACCAAGACTCAGGGGTGGAGGACTTGCCCAAGCTCACACAGCGAGGACCAAAAGCAAATGTCTTTTCCCAAAACACTACTGCCTTTCTCTATGCTGAAAGAAATGAAAATGAAGCTGGGTGCTGGTGGTTCATGCCTATAATCCTAGCTACTTGGTAGGCTGAGATCATGGTTTGAAACCAGTTGGGGAAAAAAAAAAATCCATGAGACTTTTTTTTTTGGGTCTGGTCGTAGGGCCTGAACTCTGGGCCTGGGCACTGTCCCTCAGCTCTTCAGCTCAAGGCTAGCACTCTACCACTTGTGCCACAGCACCACTTCTGGCTTTTTTCTTTTTGCTTATGTGGTGCTGAGGAATTGAACCCAGGGACTCATGCATGCAAGGCAAGCGCTCTACCACTGAGCCACCATCCCAGCCCTCCATGAGACTTTTATCTCCAGTTAACCACCAAAAAAAGCCCAAAATAGAGCTGTGGTTCAAGTGGTAGAGTATCAGCCTTAAACAAAAACAGCTAAGCACCCATGCCCTGAGTTCAAGTCCTAGGACCAGCACACACAAAAAGGAAAATGTTGGACTGAAACCCCTTAAAATCCAGACACTCTCAGGGTAACAGACCATACTCATTCCGCTAATCTTGTTCCTCTGATCTATTTCTTTGAAGATGACACCAAGTTGAATCCTTATGCAGGAGGAGATGGTAAGTACTGAACCACAGGCCCCTCTTTATCAGATCCCGGGCTTTGGGCCCACCCTGAGGAAAGTGGGTGAGCGGAGGGAGGGCTCAGAGGCTCTAGGCACAGGTCCCTAGGTTGAGGAACCATGTATACCTTAGACATTCCTGATTGTAGCCTTCTGCCTTCACTTCCCTAAATGGGGTGGGATGAGGATTGTGGCCCTGGCCTCTCCTTCTTCCTCCTCTGCATCCTGAAGTGTCTTTGGGTTGGCAGAGAATACATGATTTGCCAGTCACCAGATGTGGGATTCTCCCAGTCTCTGATGATCTCTCTGGACATGGGAGGGGTCCTTCTTCCCTCGCCCTTTTCCAAGAATCAGCTTGACCCTTGTGCAGCCATGGCCAAGGGTCAATATAGAAACACATTCCAGCTTTAGACTGGATGTTCTCAGGGGTATAGTGGGAGCAGTGAATTATTAACATCTGACATCTGATCTATCTCCCCATGAAGATAGGGCTATCGCCTTCCTGGAGAACGATGTGAGTGTGTGCGGTTGGTGGTGGGGAGCCAGGCCATGTGCCCCTTATTCTCACCTTCATTCTCATCAGCCACAGCTCTGCCCCTCAGATCCACAGGGTCACAGCAGGCTGATAGCCAGGGAAGCTAGTGTGGGGAATATCACCCTAGCCTTCTCACTGGTTGGCAGATGGAGATACGAGCCATGCACTAGAGTGCTCTGGATAGTTTCTGTTCTGAGTTTCCTCTGCGTACAGCATGCCCAGAAGAGAAAAGGGATGGGGAGGACAATAGTTCTGAATGTATGCAACATTCTAGCTTAGGGCTCACCCTCTGTTGCCTCCCCTTCTACTTAACTAACTATATAAAAATGATTCAGTATTTCTGTTACTGACATGCACATCTCCCACATTCCTTTCAGATAGAGGGAATAAGCAAATGGACACACCCAAGTACGTCAGGAGACTAGGCTTTTTAGAGTCTGGCCCTGAATTTGTACTTCCTTGAGCCTAAACTTTCTGGGAGTCTACTACTACCTCGTATAAGTTATGGGTAGGAATAGATGCGCTTCCAGCTCTAGACTACAGGAATGTTCTGTCTCCTCCTGGGGATGCTCTCAAGAATGCATGCTGATGGGGCTGGGAAGGTGGCTCAGTGGTAGAGTGCTTGCCTTACATGCATGAGGCCCTGGGTTCAATTCCTCAGCACCACATAAGCTGGAAGTGGCGTTGTGGCTCAAGTGGTAGAGCACTTGCTTTGCAAGCCTGAGGCCCTGGGTTCGATTCCTCAGTACCACATAAGCACAAAGAAAAAAGCCAGAAGTGGCACTGTGGCGCAAGTGGTAGAGTGCTAGCCTTGAGCTGAAGAGCTGAGGGACAGTGCCCAGGCCCAGAGTTCAGGCCCCACAACCAGACCCCCCCCAAAAAAAGAAAAAGAATGCAAGCTGGCTGAAGAACTTCTAGAGGACCTAGAATTCAATTTGAGGGCCAACACTGGGATCCCAATTTTTCCCAAAAACTGAGGACATGATGAGTAAGACGCTGCCACCCTCCAGGAAGTCTCCTTCTAAGGGTGGACAGGGAAAAGTCATAGTGTGGTCATTTGTTATCATAAGAGCTGATGCTTATTGATGAGTTTGTTCCAGAGTGTTAGGTTAATTATATTTATTGACATGATTTATCTCATTTTAACCCTCGAAATAATCCCTCTTTGAGTAGTTGTTATTATTAATTTCCTTGTTCTATAGAAGTGCTAAGAGAGACCCAGAGAGGCTGATTTGTTCAGGATCACATAGCCAATAAGTGGCAGAGTATAGATTTTAATCCAAATAGCCTGATGGCTATTTGGCTCCAAATTCTCTCTCTCTCTCTCTCTCTCTCTCTCTCTCTCTCTCTCTCTTTCTCTCTGTATGCTAGTGCTGGGGCTTGAACTCAGACCCTTGTGCTTTTCACTCAAGACGCATACTCTGCCACTTTGTGCCAGACCTCCACTTTCACCTTTTTGCTGGTTAAAGTTTGTGAGACTTTTCTATCCAGGCTGAGTTCAAATCATAATCCTCAGATCTCAGCCTCCTGAGTTGCTGGGTTTACCGGAGTGAGCTACTGGTGCTGGGCATAGGTCCCAAATTCATAACCTTCAAATGCCCCTTATATGGCCCAGGTATCAGAGAGAGCTTTTCTTAGGATTTTTGATTAGACTTCTGGACAACTTTTTAAGTGCTTTTTGGAAAACATCTGAAAGGTGCCACTAATAATGATTTCCCCAACTCCTAACTATGTATTTGGTAAGTTGACCCAAAAAGTTCTATGGGCTTTTATCTCTGAGATTTTGTCAGAACCTAAGATTCTGTGGCCTGGCCTTCTGCACTCTCCTTTTTCTGCCTTCTGGTCTCTCCACAGGCCTTCAGGACAACCTGGACCCAAAGACGAAAGGTCCCCCCGTACACCTGGGCACCATTGTGGGCATTGTGCTGGCTGTCCTCTTAGTGGCGGTCATCATCCTGGTTGGGATTTACATCAATGGCCACCCCAACTCCAATGCTGCACTCTTCTTTATTGAGGTCAGTGTGAAGTGTGGCCTCAAACCTGCTGCTGCCTGCTTTTGCGTCATTGTTACCTGGGTCATTCAGTTCCCACCTCTCCCCATCTCATCCCTTACCTACCACATCCCTGAGAAACCATTGCCAACTCCACATTATCCTTCTATCCCAGTGGAACAGACTGTTGACCTTCCCCCATTTATAAAATTCTTTTTTTTTTTTTTTGGTAGGTCATGGGGCTTGTACTTTGGGCATGGGTACTGTCCCTGAGCTTTTTCCTTCAAGGCAAGCACTCTACCACTTTGAGCCACAGCTCCACATCCATTTTTCTGGTGGTCAACTGGAGATAAGAGTCTCATGGGCAGGACGCCAGTGGCTCATGCCTAGCTACTCAGAAGGCTGAGATCTGAGGATCGAGTTTCAAAGCCAGCCCGGGCAGGAAAGTCTGTGAGACTCTTATCTACAATAAACCACTAGTAAAACCGGAAGTGGCACTGTGGCTCAAGTGGTAGAGCCATCTCCTTGAGCCAAAGAGCTGAGGGCCAGTGCCCAGACCCAGAGTTCAAGCCCCATGACTGACAAAAAAAAAAAAGCCAGCCTGGGCAGGAAAGTTGTGAGACTCTTATCTCCAATAAACTACTCAGAAAACTGGAAGTAGTGCTTGGCTTAAGTGGTAGAGTGCTAGCCTTGAGCTGAAGAGCTCAGGGACAGTGCCTAGGCCCAGAGTTCAAGCCCTATAACCGACAAAAAAAAAAAAAAAAAGTCTCATGGACTTTCCTATCCAGGCTGGCTTTGAACCACAACCCTCAGGTCTCAGCCTCCTGAGTAGCTAGGATTATAGGCGTGAGCCACTGGTGCCTGGCTATGAGGGTTGTATTCTTTGGGAGCTGTAGTTAAGGATGATTCAGTTTTAGACTCTTCCAGAACTCTGAGGGAACAACTGAGGTGCAGCATGAGAGATTAGGCTCAACCCCTTTTGCTCTGAGCCACATAATTCAGCAGGTTCCATTATTCCACCCCCCCCAACCTCAACTAGTTTATTACCTCCTAGAGGACCTCGTTCACTTCATAGAATTCAATTGAGTGGCCACAGCAGGTCTTTCTATTTTTTTTTTCTAAGAGCCAAGGATGCAAAAATGAATAAAACCCTACCCCTGTTCTTCAGAAGGTCATAGTTTGGCGGCATACTGAGTAGATTTTTTGAAAGCACCTATGTAGGGGCTGGGAAGGTGGCTCAGTGGTAGAGTGCTTGCCTTGCATGCATGAGGCCCTGGGTTCGATTCCCCAGCACCACATAAGCAAAAAGAAAAAAGTCTGAAGTGGCGCTGTGGCTCAAGTGGTAGAGCGCTAGCCTTGAGCTGAAGAGCTGAGGGACAGCGCCCAGGCCCAGAGTTCAGGCCCTACAACCGGGCCCCCCCCCCCCGAAAAAAAAGAAAGCACCTATGTAGCACAGGTAGCAGCATATGTCCTTGTCATAGATAGAAAATGGCCTACCTGGGTATCAACTGAGATTCTGATGGAGGAGGTTTTAAGTGAACCCAGGAATCATGCATTCTGGATGGTTATTTTGGCATTATCCAGAGCTTCATAGGTCATTCCAGCCATCACTGGCTGACTCTTTCTACACTCTCAGTCCTTTGTCGTACTGCTGAAGCAGCTAGCTCTGAGTTCTGCGGACCACACAAACTCCTTCCAAACTCTGGCTCCCAGTGGTTGAGGGACTAGGGTAGAAAGTCTTTTGAGGGACACTGGCCCTGTTAGTTGGCTACCAGTGAGGCCCCAGTGCCTCAGGACCCTTGTAAGAGAAAGTCTTGGTACTTTCCCTCAGGGATGAGGTCCCCATAGGAAAGTCATGTCCACTGACTTTGCCTCTGTGCCCCCAGCAGCGGAGACCTCATCATTGGCCAGCCATGAAGTTCCGCAACCACCCCAACCACTCCACATACACGGAGGTGGAGCCCTCGGGCCACGAGAAGGAGGGCTTTGTGGAGGCCGAGCAATGCTGAAAGTGCCACGCAAGGAGACCCAGGGACGGGCAAGAAAGATGAGTCATAGCGATGCAGAGAAAAGGACTTTTCCTGGCATCCTTGAGCTTGCCCTGCGCCAGGAAGATGAGACAGCAGCTCATGGTGCCAGACCCACAGCTCAGTCCTCATACCCCAGACAAAGCGGGTTCAGCAGAAAAGCAACCATGTGGGTTTCTTAAAGGAATAGTAACCTCATCTCCTATGTGGATGCCAGGGATCCTTCCTTCCGAGGCTTTCAATGATCTACTCCCTAGCCATTCCACAACCTCCTCGCCCCTGCTCCTGGTCTCTGGAGGCCTTTCTCATGGGTAACTGGTTAACTGAAGCCAAGGCTGCTACACTCCAGATCCATGGGCTTAAGAGCTGTCCTATGGCCATGAAATTGGCCTACTTAGGCCCCAACCTCTGCAGCTCTGGAAACCTGAAGAAACGGTTCCTCCTATCTGGGAAGCTCTCAGCCCTTGGGCAGTTACGTTGACTTCTGCATCAGGACATGTGCGGCCTGTGGCCTGCCTCTGGCCCACCCAAACCCAGCTCCTACCTGGTCAACTGGGCCCTGCACAACCATCTGTCTGATGGGGGCTCCTGACTCCGTGACTTGACTGGCCCTGATTTACTTGCTGGCCTGATCTGGTGTTGACATCTGTAGGTATTTCTGAAGGCACAGCTTGCCTGGTTCATATTTTTCCTCTACCAAACTGGATTTTTACAATCATTTCAGATAAACAGGGCACTTCAAGACCCTCTCCAGCAGAGAGGGTCAGTTGGATCCTGTTAAGAAGGCATACCAGCCAGAAAGGTTAGGGACGGAGGAAGCTGGCATGGGAGGGAAGGACTTTCTACCCACAACCTTGACCTAGAATGTAGCCTCTGTCTCCCTAGCTCTGAAAGAAGTATTGGAAGCAGGGAAGTTCAGGCTGCCAAACTGAGCTTGTTTTTAAGGGACTTCTGTCTATCCCAGTGATGGTGAGCTTCTGAAGGGCATTGAGAATTGAGATCTAGAGCTCATTTCATTCCAAGTAAAATATATCAGCAGCAAATAAATGTTAAGGCACTGTCTCCACTTAATCACACCCTTTAGTATGTCATGAGGGACCTGCAAACGAAAAGTTAGTCTGAGGACAAGGAAGGCAGCCTTCAAATACCCAGACACATCCAAAACCTGACTGACAGCTTTGCAGCCACTCTGTGGTTTATCTGTGTGGGCTGCTAATGACAAGTAGAGTTAAACCAGAGAAGAGAGAGCTGGGGGACACAAGCTAGGGATGGGAGGTAGAATTTGAAAAAGAAAACGGACACTGCAGCAGAGTAGAATTTTTGCAAGTATCAGAAGACAGAAGATCTGGAAGAGCTTGACAAATGTGACCAAACTCCTCCCAACCCTCACCATCTTTGCTGGAGCCCAACTAGCAAAGTCTACAAGGAGGGCCCTTGTATCTAAGATGGCCCACCAGGAAGTCGGTGGGTGGCACTTTACAGGGTTAGTTTTGGTTTCTGGATATCCTTAGGATCTCTAGTGACACAAGCATTTCTATACAGATCTGGAGTTTGATCCCCAAGGATTTAGAGCAGGTCAGATGGGCAGCAATGGTGAATGACTTACTTTAAGAGTGACTAGGCAGGTGCTGGTAGCTCACACCTATATTCCTAGCTACTCAGGAGGCTGAGATCTGAGGATCACGGTTCAAAGCCAGCCAGAACAGGAAAGTCTCTGAGACTCTTATCTCCAATTAACCACCAGAAAACCAGAAGTGGCACTGTGATTCAACGTGGTAGAGGGCTAACCTTGAGCAAAAGAGCTCAGGGACAACGTCCAGGCCTGAGTTCAAGTCCCTGGCCAACAACAACAGCAGCAAAAGTAACTATTTGGAGACACAGGTCTGAGGGTCCCTCTGCACCGGGCTGACAATACCCCATACACTGTGTATCATCAACTAGACTTCCAGGCCTTTCCGTCCTACAGGCATATTCATTCTCCAGGGAAAGGGAGTTGCCATTGGGGGAAGGAAGCTTTAGTTCTGTGAAATGGAACTCGGAAATTTTCTTTGTTATTCAGAGAGACAGAGGTCTTGGGAAAATTCTGAGGACTAAACAACAAATAGAAACAAAGGAGAATGCAGAGACTAAGTATAAGGGGACACCTTGAAGTGGTTCCCTTCATTTAACCCCTCCTAGATTTGTGGTTTTCTCCAGGAAAGCCCCTGGGGTTTCTGATTCTGCAGCCATCATGGGCCCAGTGAGGCACAAAAAATGGGCTCTCCAAGCTTGACTTGAAAACTTGATGGTGACCACCTCCCTTAGGCCATAATCAGATACCCCTGCCAGTCTCAGCAGGCCCTATAACTCTGGAGGCCACTTGTTCAGACCTGTCCTTCAGTCATGTTGAAGGGGATTTGTTTTTGTTTTTGTTTTTGTCAGTCCTGGGTTTGGAAGTCAGGGCCTGGGCACTGTCCCTGAGCTTCTTTTGCTCAAGGCTAGCACTCTCCTACTTGAGCCATAGTGCCACGTCTGGCTTTTTCTGTTTATGGGCTTCATGCATGCTAGGCAAGCACTCTACCACTAAGCCACATTCCTAGTCCCAAGTAGTTCTTGATGAACTTATAAAAACAAATTTTTTAATGCGTCTGTTTTACCAGGGTAAATGGATCCCTGTTTGCCTCTGTACATACAAATGTAGCCTTTGATTGCTAAAAAAAAACCAAAAAAAACCTGTAACTGTGCTCAGCCATTAACTTAGATTGTTAAAAGACAATGGAAAAAGTTGCCAGCCAAACTTCATGGTTCCAAAAAGCAGGGTGTTCACCACTTGAAGCAACCATTCATCTGGCTGTGGGCAGGGCTGACTCTTCCCTAGGTATGGAGTAGACTCACAGACTGGCACAAAGCAGTGCTCAAGGGCTGGGAAGGTGGCTCAGTGGTAGAGTGCTTGCCTTGCATGCATGAGGACCTGGGTTTAATTCCTCAGCACCACAAAAGCAGAAAAAGCCAGAAGTGGCTCAGTGGCTCAAGTGGTAGCGCACTAGCCTTGAACTGAAGAGCTGAGGGACAGCATCCAGGCACAGAGTTCAGGCCCCACAACCAACTCCCCTCTCCCAAAAAAAAAAGCAGTGCTCAAGGTCTGCACCAGAACTCCCTAGCCATGAAAGTTTACACCAGAAGAGTGACTGTCACCGGTGGAATATACTCTTTATCTTCAGAAACCTACCTGAACCTCTAGCACATCTGGAAGGATATGGGGATTTTAGGACGCTAGCTATCCTCACTAAAGCATAAGTCACACAGTTTGTGTAAATTTTCAAAGATGATAATAAAAAGAAACAAGTCTTTTACAACCTCAGCTATAAGTAAAGTAAAAAGCAAAGGGTTCAGAGTGCACACACCTTGGTCCTGATGACAACTTCTTCCCAAGTCTTCAGCCCCTTTCTTTGAGTGGGAAAGAACTGGCACCTTGTACCGGCTCAACAGGGGAGCTCCTCAGACCACCTGTCCCACCTCCAAGAGAACCACCAGGGAAGTAACCCCAGCTATGGATTTATCTCAGGCTTGTAAATCCCTAGAAGGCAATCTCATGCATTTTTAATCTACTATCTAGAGATACAAAATAAATCAGAGTTAAGTTCATGCTGTCACATTTCTGGATGCTTTGCATTTGAACAACTTTAACAGCTTCCTTGGGCTTTTATTACTTTTTTTTTTTTTTTTTACTCACAAAACATGAGTTTGCAAACCAAAACAAATAGAGGAAAAATGTGAACTCCTCACAGCCAAAACCAACGAAGCCAAATTTCAGGCTTCAGACGAGCCAGTTTATAAATAAACATGTTGTGTTTGCCAAGTAACGAGAAATGTGTTGGAAAAGGCAACATGGACTGGAGAGAAGGTGCTAAGCTGAATGTAGTGTCAGAAGGCAGGAGTTTTGACTCCAGCAGTGCCCATGAGGAGTATGATGTGGGCCAAGTCACCGAACTTTCTTCCACCTTGTTCATGCCTCTGTGAAGTGGGAGGTGTTACAGTAACACTGATTGGTCTAAAGTAGGAACTTAGCAAATACTTCTGCTTGGTTTTCAATTTATACAGCATTCCTTTCTTTCCCATCAGGGTAACCAAATTGTTTTAGTTGGTCCAGAACTCTCCTGGTGTTACGTCTGAAATCTTTGCATCCCAGGAAGTCCCTTCATCCCAGAGAACATGGGAACATGCTATCTTGAGGCAGCTCTCATACTTTACTAGCTGAAGAAATAATTCCTAGTGTGCCCAAATAGGAAGCTCAGACTTCCCTAGGATTGGTTGGAAATGCATGACTCAGGCCTACCTGCCCACTCTGCAAAGTCAGAGTGTGAGTTTGAGCACCTCTGGGGGATTTGTGTGAGACAATTTTTCTTAGAAGATCACAGCTGGTTGGGGAGGCACCATTCATTCCCCCATTCCCCAGAAGAGGAAACTGAGGCTCCAAAAGTCACTTGTTTATTTACTCATTCACTTCAGCTACATTTTTTGGGGGGGGGGTCCAGTTGTGGGGCCTGAACTCTGGGCCTGGGTGCTATCCCTCAGCTCTTCAGCTCAAGGCTTGCGCTCTACCAACTTGAGCCATAGCTCCACTTCCGGCTTTTTCTGCTTATGCGGTGCTGAGGAATGGAACCCAGGACCTCGTGCATGCAAGGCAAACACTCTACCATTGAACTACCTTCCCAGCCCATTGATCTATATTTATTAACCACCTATTGTTTGCCATTAAGTGAATTACCCTAGGTCACATAGTAAGTAACAGAAACAACTTCCAAACCCAGGAGTCTTCAGAGTCTCAAAGTTGCTCTCCATGTACCTCAGGGCAGTGCCAGAACCACAGCTTAATATAGAAGAGCCTGTGGATTATGACAGAATCCTCTGGCCTGGTCTATAGAACTCCTTAGCAAGATGCACAGCAATGATGTCCAATCCCTCCTCACTCTGGGCTCCCAAAACTGTGAGCTTCTCATCTGTCTGGTTGCACAGCCCCACATGTTTGCCACAAGCTTGCAAATGTCCTGTAGCTTGCCTCTTTTGTCTCCTTGGGCCCAAGCTCCAGAAACTTCTCCACAAGAAGAAATAGAGCACTCTAGATTAATAGCCCGTGCTATTTTATCTTCTTGAGTTGAAGACAAGGTCTTACTTCTCAAGGGAAGTGGGAAAGTAAGAGGGAGTCTTTACTTGTCCTGTTAAAAAGAGAAATTCTTTTTTTTTTAAGAATTCATATTTATATATTTAAAATCAAACACAATTAAATAGAATATTGTTTAAGTACATGAATACTTCAACTTTAGAAGAATAACAGAGGTGGTACATAGTATCAAAAACTTATACCCAGCCTTTTTGTTTCTTCTGTTGATAAAATGGTGTGCCTGTATACAATCAATATTGCAACAGAATAAATTCTCTATTCATTCAAAAGTTTCTCAAGGACAGAGGTGATAATTATATACATATATATATATATATATATATATATTCATTAAAAAGAGAAATTCTTTGAGAGGAAGAGGACCATCTCTTTTGATCTTCATAAAACATTACATTTGGTCCCAAGGGATAAGTCAATTAGGCCCACCATTTTCCACAAAGCTAAAGCATTGAAAAAGATATCTAAATATAGACCAATATACTTGCATCACACTGTCACAGAGCTTTAAGTTTAAACCTTTTAGCCTCAGTCTTTCCTTTGTAACCACTGTGTGATTCAACGAACTGTTGAAAAGGTCAAAGACTCATCCTGACCAGCTGAGAAAAACGGGAAGATCTACAAAAATATAACATATTCGAGCCAGGGGTCACATCATGTGTCTGTAGTATCAAGAATTCAAGGCCAGCTTGGCCCATATAGCAATACCGCATCTCAAAGAACCACACACAAAACAACCAAAAACAAAACAAAGCACTAGCTATTTCTTAGGTTCTTCAGAACAACAACAAAAGACATGAGCAAGGAATATTGCAGAATTTATTCAGCACAAATCAAAGACTTAAGCAACCCCTTAATGAGTCCTTAGTGATTTACTTCAATGACTCCTTTGAGAGGACAGGGCTTGG